ATTTCATTGTCGCCTGTTTAATAGAAAGCTGCTCTCCTCTTGGCCAGCCACAATCATAAGATTTACCCCCGGGGGGGCTAGAGCTCTGTAACAGACTATGGTTCAATATGGATGTGCGGATGAGCTGACATACAAAAGTCAAGCCTCTATAACACTGACTCTTTCACGGTAGAAGGAGCAACACACACACACACACACACATTATAAAAGTGAGGGAATGTAGAGAAACGTAGAAAGCAGCTCAAAGTGCAGCAGGTGCTGCATAAGAAAAGCTAGTTTTCAATATCGATGAACGATGGTCAAATGATCAAAATAAAAGACTACTTAGATGTGTGGTGTCTCAGCGAGGTAATACATTACATTTGTATGTTGAATTTTTATTTTTAATTGCTGATGTTTTTGCTGAATTTACTGGTAGATCACAATCTACTCGCAATCTCACAATCTGATCTACAGTACAGTTAGGGGTTTGGATTTTTTATTTTTTTTCATAGTCTTACTTACTTAATATCATTATTTTAATCGCAGTACAGAAGTGTATATATATATTGAAAATTTAAAATAAAAAAGACAGTTTTTCACATTCCCTCAGTTGGATTGCTACTCAGATAATAAGTGTAGAAAACTGTAGGAATTTACAGAACGTGAAACTTTTTTCATATTGATTTTACTGTTTCTGTTTTATACAGATTAAAATAGTCACCACTAGTTTTCAACATACTCTATAACAAACGACAATATCAATATCACCTCTGGCCATTTTTTATAGTATTGAGTATTTTAGTGGCACGCACATTGAGACATTTGCATTAAACAAAGGAAAATAACTAGAAGCAAGTGATTAAATGACCTGTTTGGTGAACAGAAACATTCTTCATTGGTTTACCCAGACTTTTTTTTTTCTCGCCTTGTTGAAAATACTGCAGCATGCCTTTTTTCACAAGTGTGAACCGACATCTCCTGTAACACCCTCCCCTTATTGGCTCTTGCCGTGCTACAGAATTGATTTTATAATCCTCCTGTGGTTTATATAAATGCTCTAACAATCGTTCTCCATTCCTCCGAGTCCCTGAGTTGCCTGAGCCCTCCGTTCCTCCAGTGGTCTCTAAGCTCTGCTGATCAGCAGCTCTTGATGGGTCACAAAAATAAGGCTGTGTGAGATTATAATTGTGTTTCTGAAACTGTATACTGGTTTGTGGTACACTTTTATTTCCTCCTTTTTTAATTACACTAAAATACACCTTTTTTGCATGGCTTTTAGAACAATGTGGTTAAGATCCTTATTTAACTCAAAGTAATTCTAGAGCAGAAACCTCAGAATGAGATTAACCATTTATAGCCATGCTTTTTCTACTGTGTAAAATTCTCAATCATTGTGACTAAGAAGAAAAAATGAATAAGTGACCTTGAAAGGTTTTCAATGTGAAATGAGAGTGCCACCAATTTGAATACATAAAGTCCATTCACAAGGAGGTATGAAATGTTGGATTCAATAAACAATTGCCCAGGGATTTTGTTCTTACGAGCACTTGTACAAACATAGCCTCTCCCTGCTCTTTTAAAGGCTAGAGGTGTGAAAGTGACCCAGCCTTAGTTTTGCCACTGCACCTAGTTCCTAGCAAAAAGAAAAAAAACCCACTAGACTCAATAAGGCTGCCCAAGAGGTTTAGCCACTTTGCTTGCCTATATGGATATTAATGGCTTGCTGTTGTTGTGATTTATTCCAACAGACCATTTTGTATAAATAATAGGCTCCTGAGAAATATGTGTATTTTCTTAGATCTATACATCTATACATTTAAATTCACCTTGAAAACACTTTGTTAGTAAATAATAGATCTATAATGTGCATTAGAGGCGGCGGACGCTCCAATATGTCCTCTATCCTAGGTTTGTGTAATCATTATTATCACATTAGGAGGTCAGGTTATTCTGCAGTTGGGGAGGAGGGGGGGGGTTCCCAACAATTGTTTTTATGGTAGAGAAAAACCTGGACCAAAAGTCCTGGGATTACAATTCAGATCACAAGATACGGTTCTGTGCCGACGCAGGTGCAAAACAAACAAAGGCAATGTTCAAGGGAATGGTAAACAGTCACAGTTGTTTACTTATGTACGGTTTTAAGTCCTCTGTGAAGCCAGCTCTGTGTGCTTTGTGTGTGTAAACATCACACTTCATGCATACCTTTTTTACCACCCCCTCCCACTTTTCAAGCTTATTGTACAACCCACAAGTTATGGAATTGCTTAGATCTCCGTGTAATTACATCACACACCACGGTGGTGGAAACACTGGGGTGTGGAAACCAGGAGCTGCGGTGCAACAGCTGCATCCCAAATGTGAGCATCCATGGTTAATAGAGCAAGGTTTTCTATATTATGCTGAACAATAGGTGCTTAACGCCAATGCCAACCATTTTTCATCAATACCGTGCAAATTTATGCAGTGAGGTGCTGCAAAAGACATCATAGCTGCAGACCGTGAGAGGCCGGAGAGACAAAGCTAATTCAGATTAGTTGGCTGCATTACTTTGACTTAAAGACATTTTCATCCAGACCTTTTCTGTTTAAATACTCTCATAAACAACACACTTTGTTCAGGGGCTTTTAACATTGGTGGTTAATTAGTCAATCACATTTATTTTGGTAAAATACTGTTGCCACCGGCCACTTTCGTGCAGCCTCCCACCTCACTCAATGCCTCACCTTTAGAGGGGAGCATTACTTATAGGTCTCAAAGGTGCACGCTGCAAAAAGATCATTCGTCTTCCCTGCTGCGGAGGTCCATTTGCCTCCATGTGTCCGTACACTTAAAATGATGCATGTGTGAATCCAAATCTATCAAAGTTCACTTAAATTTATCTGGGTGTGGGTTTCTCTGTGTGTAGCCTGTGGTGCCGTGTATTTCTGAGGCGGCGAGTGCAGAGGAGAGTCACATACATCACCACTGATGATGTGGAGGAAATAGAGGGATTAGATGATCGTCCAGCAGCAATCCACAGGAGAAAATTAAAGTGTGGCTGTTGAGGGAAATCCTGCAGCCATTGTTGTGTGATTAAAGAGTAGGTCACAGACATTGAATGGGGGCGGGGGCGCTTAATTATTAAAGCAGCACGAACAGGACCAAATGGTGTTTACACAGGTTCACGCATGCACATTTGCCTTAGCCGTGTGTACTGATAAGGCACTGATGCAAAATTACTGTTTTCCCTTCTGGATGATCAATTAGCAGACAGGGGTCCACCACAGAGAAACATTAAGTCCAAGTCTCACATCCTTCTGGCCTTTGTGCACAACCCTAAATGTAAATTATAATTTCAGCCGCATTTAACATAATATTGCAATTCTTTATTTTCTGCTTATCAGTTACAACTTCTGTATATATTCTGTACAGCACTGAAGGCACACAAAAACTAAAAGGTAAAACAGAACATAGGTATATACAAAATATACAGAATAAATAAATAAATCTAGGTTAAAAAAAGGAGAGAGAGAAAAAAAAAGCTACAGTGTGTGCTTACATAAACCATTTGCAATGAACTATAAGGGATTCTGCAGATTCAAACCTTGCACAGTGACATTGTCCATGTTATAAAATGTCCATCATGCAATCCAGTAAGTTTAATATGAGCTCAAACGAGTCCGTTGGCAGGTTGGGCAAGGGATGTGTTTGTGTGTGTTGTCTGCAATGTTGCTTGTCAATAACCATTCCTGTGCTAATAGATTTATACGTACATCCTTTTTTCTCTAATGATCAGGACAAAAAAAAAAACTTCCAGGTCAGTCTTTTCTGCACCAGGTGCTGTTTTTCGGGCAAATCTGATGTAAAATTCTGAAATGAAACAGCAGCTCTTTTACACAGCACAAGCACGAGTTAAAAACTTATACATACTACATATGGAGCTCGTT